TTTTTTTGGCATTTAAAAAGTGGGGGGTAAAATTAAAAATTTGAAGCCAAGTTTAAGGTCCAATATATGTATTATGCCAAAATAAAAATATGAAATCAAACTATAAGTCAAGGAATTTATACGCAGAATGATATAAGTATAATTTATTAATTTCCTATCGAATTTTCAGTTAATCTCGATATAAGTGCCTATCAAAGTAAATCTCTTATATTCATTGATTTGATGTGAAAACACTTAAGTTTTTTACCCATAAAAATAATTATCTGTCAAACATTTATTTTGTAGTTAAAATGGCTAATTTGAATGTTATTTTGTTGTTTCCCCCTAAAATAATAGCTAGTCAAATTTTAATATTACTCCCCTCCAATCCAATCCATCAAACACTATTTAAAGAAAAAAACTAATAATTTATGAGATTTTAGCAATGGGATACACTTCATTTGTATAATTAATATAAGTACTCCCTCCGTTTGAAAAAGAGAGGCCTCGTTTGACTTGGCACAAAATTTTAAAAAATAAAGAAGACTTTTGAATCTTGTGGTCCTAAATTAAAGTTATGTCAAATGTACTCAAATTTCCCTTTAATTTTGTGGCCTTAAACATGCAACATGGAAAACTGAAATTAAAATGTTACCAAAAAAAGGGAAGAGGTCATCCTTTTTGAAATAGACTAAAAAGAAAAGAAGGTCATTCTTTTTGAAACGGAGGGAGTACCTATTAATCCGGTCACCCCTATCCCCTGTATCCCCACCCCCACTATATATACTCCACTCTCCTCACAAGTCTTTACCAAGTAAGTGCTAGGCCCTACCTCCTGATCCTACCACCCACTGTACATATGTACTTTGTACTTTATATCGGTATCCTTCATTCCTTCTATCTCATATACTTGACTAATTTTATTCAGTGGAAATTGAAGAAAAAGGGAAAGAACAAGCCTTGATATTGGAATCTTCAAGATGACAAGTTTTTGCACAAGCTAGTAGGGGAACATGGAACAAAGAACTGGTTAGTTATTGGTCAATTGATTCCAAATTGATATGGAAAATCATGTAGGCTCTGGTGGTGTGATCAGCTTCTCCTAAGTGGATCATCAACCTTTTACTCCTAAAGAAGATGATACTACTATCAAAACTCATGCCAAATTGGGTAGTCAAGGATAAACCTAACTACTAAACGAAAATTGAGGGGTATTTTTGACCATTTTCCCTTTATTTCTTCACTTTCATTAGATCAGAAGAGTATATCTGGGTCATTTGTGTTACAATAAGGGTATATGTGAGCTACTTTTGTAAAAGGGTATATCAACTCTAAATCGCGAAGTTGAAGGATATACCATAACCTTTTCTCTTTATTTGATTTTAATTTACTTAGTAAGCTAAAATTATTTTAAAGTGTTCCAAATTGTTAGGGAAAATGCATAAGTACCCCCCCAGCTTATGCCCAAAATCCCTGAGACACACCTAACCTTTACTAAGGTCCTATTACCCCCCTGAACTTATTTTTTAGTTAATTGTTTACCACTTTTCGGCCTACGTGGCTGAGTCCGTGATTTCACCTATGTTAAGCGCGTGGGTGCAGCTTTTAGACAGCACTGACCAATAAAAATTTGTCATGTGTTAAAATAAACTTGGAAAAAATAAATATTAACTCAATTGTCTTCTTCTTTATTATTGTTCTTCACTAGTATACGTACCCGCGCGTT